ACTTTTAATAAACTTGTTACAGTCTGCCTTTAACTTCATCATGTTAGTGTGCTATTGACCAAAAATGCAAAAAGCCATGCAGTTTTTGAAATGTAATAAAACTCCAAGGTTATTTTATCTTATCATTGTACTAATTCAAAATGTTGTTTAGTCTGGGGGACCTGAATAAAGACGAGAGTAAAACAAGTTAAAACACCAAGTCAGTTAAATAAATATTTCTGATGTATCTCTTAGCTTTGATTTTTTTTTTCTTTCTCTTTTTTTCCCAGAAATCAAAGGTAGACATAATGGTATTTTTCCCTAAGGAACTGCATTTTTGCTTTTAATAGATTATAAAAGTTGTTGTTGAACAAAGTAATATATAGGGAAAGTGAATAACTGACCTTAAGGGATATCCAAGAAATGAATTTGGGATTCTCAGTCAGTATTAAGGAAGACCTCTTCCAAATCTGTGACAGCAAGAATAAATAGCTTTAAAAAAGTTAACAAGCTTTTAAAAATTAAGCTGTTAAGCTTTTTACAATTGAAGCCTTAAAACTAAACTTCTTCGTGCTAGTCAATATTTTGTCTGTTGTCCAAGAACAACACATTTTCCCCACAGTAACCTGCTTACCCTATCAACAGGATCAGCCCCAGAGCCAGAATCAAACCAAATACTTTTAAGACTTACTTATTACTAGGGTAGAAGGAGCAAATTAAACATTTTTCTGAAAAAAAAAAAAAAAAAAAAAAAAAAAAAAAAAAAGGACACTGAAAGAATCAGAGGTTTAGGAGTTTAAGGAGTCTAGAGATAATATTTCTTCTGGAGTACTTGAAGGGTCTTAGTAACCACAGGTATCATACATGGACTTTGCATTGGTATGCAGTCCACTTTTGATTTATCCATGGGTGGATTATCCAGGTTTCTGGATAATTTATGCTGTAGATGTGCAGCACGCATGTTTATGAGCATGTTCCATCTGAAAGCAATATATTTTCATATTTTTGTTGCACTATCTGTTGTCCCAGATTGGGGTTTGTCATGTGGTGTGCAGACGCCCAGTTCACACACAGGATGGAGGTATTTTCCTTTATTATGTGAATGCGCATGCACAGGTGCCTGTCCTAAGACAGCACACTGTGGTCCCCAAAACCACGATTATTTATACGCACAGTCTATACTTATTCAATACACTGATACATATCTACCATGTGATTGGTCACAATCTATGCTTAGCATGTAAATTAGCACACATGCCTAGTTTGGCCTCTCCTCTTTCTTCTTTTGATTCTGGGGTGTAATTAGAGTCCAGAATTACCTTTTACCTGTTTTCCTCATAATTTGGCAAACACAGCCAGGTCGTCACAGCTCATTGTTTCTACTTCCCATTAATCCTACCTCGGCTTCTGCTTTTTGTCAGGCATCTAGAATAGCAGATTGTTTCAAGGTTAATCATTTGTTTCTACCATTATGCTAACAGCTAATCATTTGATTCTACAGTGTTCCTTACAAAGCTGACCTCTTACCTTTCAACATTTCTTTTAAGACTCCAACATCATCTGTGCCTATCACCTAATGTACATAGGTGTCATGTAGTGTATTTTGCTCTATCCTGTGCAAGGGTGTGCTGTCTAATGACCAGTTTTGATGATGAGTTCAGAAACATGGAGCTGGAAGGGAGAGGAAGATAAATGGTTTGCTAAGAGAGACATCTCTTGTTTGTTTGTTTGTTTGTTTGTTTGTTTGTTTGTTTTACAGTAATTAGTATTATTCAGTACTTCATATAGTTAGGCACAGCGACAAATCAATTTCATTTACAAGCCATGAGTGCTTGAGACATCTGCAAATCATGGTCCATGATCTGGAGAAGCAAAAATGAGAAATACAGTGTTAGTGATCGTGATCACTTGTAAAAAATCTGTACTTTGAGTAAGATTTTCCAATTTTCAGATGGATTTAAAGCCATGATATTCCTCATACATAAAATTCACTGGTAAGTACTTTAGTGAGACTTTAGGTTGACAGGAACTGCAGTTGGTCCTTAAAAATCCAAAACTAGTAAAAAGATGCAAATGGCAGGCTGCCCAGTTCAACACTAGCCACTAGGAAACACGTTCCACAAACGGTTCCTCTGTGCTGGGGTTGCCCTCTCTTTTGGAAGCAGTGCTTCAATTTAGCATTTAAAATCAGTGGATTCATGTGATCTCAGGTCTTTGGGTGCCACCAACACCATTTTTTGTACCTGCTAGGTATTTCTAAGAGTAAATTCATCTCTCAAGAATCAACCAACCACACTTTTGCTAAGAAATCCTAAAGGGGTAAAAAAAAAAAAAAAAAACAAGGAGAAGATTCATTATTTTAATTTTTAGAGAAGGATTTGAATAGCATGCAGTGAGGAAGGCTTGAGTCTCTTATTGCGTGAGGAAAAAGCAAAGTGTTACAAGATTGTCATCCATCTTGTGTGCTGAATGAAGTGGGTTCCTGTTAGAAATCAATCTAAAAATGCTGTCAAATATAAGGGAAACTGCAAAACAATTCTTAACAGAAATGTAGACTATCCATTGTACACAGTAACTGTCCTATGATGCATAACAGCTGTTTTCTGCAAGACCGTGAACGTGAAGGTGGTATGGAGGACAGTGGGAGGCACATGCTTTTGTGGATAGTGTCTCCTGTTTTATAGATATACAGTACACCATGTAGATAGACTAGTATGGACATGTCCCTTCAGCTGATAAAACCCCATCTAACTGTCAAGAAATATGTGGTAATATATTCATATGTGCTGTTTCTTGACAATCATACTGTACCTGCTGTCCAGGAAGAACAATCTTCAGTTCTGTTTTATAGTAAAATTATTTACATTCGTCTTATTTTTGAGGCCAAACAATGTTTCATATTGCCTACTTTCATGCTGCTTTTTTTTTTCAGGGCTTTTTATGCTGTGCTTACATAGAGAATAATGTTTATTCTGAATTCTGTAGCTAAGGTTGTTTTGTTATGATGAAATAGACATTTCTTTATACCTTAGAAATAATAGTACGTCTATGATGTAGGCTGCCTAAGATTTATAGGGTCCTTAAATACTCATTTTCTTGCTTTTAAGTATTTGGCTTTTCTAAATGAGGTGATAGACAACTCTGTTGTTCACACAGATATAAGGGGAAGGATTTGGGCGAGTGCTTTGCTCTTCAGTATAGTTTTTTTATCTGCATTTCACCTGACTGAAAAGATCTCTGTGTATTTGAAAAATGTACATTTGTGCTATTAACTTGTTTTGTGATACGCCTGCATAAATGCAGAAATTTCAGCAAATGTAAATGCATCACGCTATATATAACCTCACTGAATTTATTTTTAATGTATAACGCCTTTTTGGTTTTGTCCTTTTTTAGGAAATTTCTCAATTACCAAAGAGGGGAAATAAAATTTCCTTTATCAGACTTTGATAAGTCATTTTTTTTTAAAAAGTAAATGAATTTTATTTATAAGTTTATAATGGAAATATTTCCTAATAATTTTCAAAGTACAGAAAATGTTGTAAAACCTTTTTTATCCACGCTTGGGAAACTAGCTCCTCTAGGCATCATTATCAAGATACAGTCCTGTTTTGTAGTATGATATAATGTGATATCAATGGAGAAATAGAAGATCAGACATAATATATTAATAAAGGAAGAGGAATTGTAATATACCTTAACCTTAGAAAGATAATAAACTTCTAGAACACTCTCCAGTTGTCATGGTACTGAAGATACATGCTAGCTGTTTGGGGTTTTTGTTAAATCTCTGTATCTTGCGTTGTCCATATCACCTCTGTAATAGTTCCCATACATTTAAATAATGGAAAAACTACTACCTGTGGGACCGGAAGTCCATTTTTTGGAAAAAACCTGGGGGTTTTTTGCTAAGAGAGCAAGGGAAAACCTGTCTTTTTAGCCATTACAGAAAGAAATAATTTTGTCTTTAAATTGTTACACTTAACAGGGAGCAACTTTACACACATTTAGGGTAAATCTTATCTTAAACTGATGAGAAACAATGGATGTTCCCACAGCCATCCAGTATTTATTGTTCTAAATGCATCTCATTTAGACTTGATGATCTTGCCAGCAGCCACAATACTCCTTTAAATGAAGTCACTGATTAAAAGATGGTGAAAGAAATCTTGATATCATTGTGGGTTGACTTGGATCTCCAACTGTCTGAAAAGAAATCCTGAATAGTTTTCTAGTGTTTTAGTGTTATGTATTATCTTCAGATATAGCTGACAGGTGAGATTTTAGGGAGATTTAGTTGAGATGGGGTGGGGTCAAAGTTAATAGGAGCATTAACAAGGTGTTTCTAAATTGATGGGAAACTAAAATAAAAGACTTTAGTATTTCTTTGTGATAATCATTTAATGATTCAGTAGTGGGGTTTCACAGTTTGGAAAAGCACTGTACTTTATCTTCCCGACAACTATGGTAATTTTCTGTTCATTCTTCCTTCAAGCTGAGCAGGCAAGGAGGTTAAAACAGGACTCCAGAAAGGAAGTTTCTAGATAATGTAGAGGTTACATATTATCGGTGTTACGCCCTGTAACACCAGGTTTCCCTAGGGTCTCTTAACCAAGTAATTGTTTAGCCCAGTGTTGCTTCAGTTAGATCATTAGGCAGCAGACTGAAATGTCCTACTCAAAAAAGCCCAACACAACAAAGTACAAAATGGTGATCATAAAAATAATGAGGAAAGATCATTCATCCTGATCTTTCTCTGATATATTTATTTTCTGGGAGGTTATTGCAAGAAGACATTTAACAACTTGTCTGTCTGCAGCTAACATTACAAGTCTTGTTGAATAAGACAGGCTATAGTTTTATAAATACTTAAACTGGTACCACTGCCAGAAAAAGAAAAAGTAGTTCTACTACCCATTCCCAGTTCAAGCTGTTGTTTCCTCTGTGTTGGCAGATGTTTTCTGTAGCTGAGGTTAGAGAACTGATTTGGATTAATACTAACTGTTATATTTCTTTGCCAGGATGGTTTCCACTTCAGTGAGTTTCCTGATCAAGTTCACCAGCTGGCTGCAGAAACAATCCTGTCAGCTCAAGGGAATTGCAGCACAAGGACCAGAATAAAGCTCTAAATTGAAGCTATTTTTGTTTAGTAGAAACCCTGGTTAATTGCTGTAGGACTTTATGAATCCACAGATTACAGCTGGACGACTAACAGAGGCTATGTGATAAACTGCTTTGGTAGGTGCAGTGAAGTTCATCATACGGTTCTTTGGGCGAGCAGCACGCTCTGGTTTGGGCCGGATAGGTCATGGCTGGTCTGCACACTGATCCCAGTGCTCTACAGCACCAAAGGCATCTCACAGATGCCCATGTTTCATACATACAGGCTTCTGCAGCGTGAACCGCTCTGCCTCTGTCACTGTCCTCCGTGTCCACATCATGACACGCGAGAGCAGGGACCGGAACCGCAGCTGCCGCCTACCTGCTCCGCGGCACTAACTGCGCAGCCATGTAGCGGGCTGCTGCTCCTGAAAACTGCCGAGGACAGCAGGCTTAGGGCTCTCAAGGCAGGATAAACTGAGGGGATGCACAGCATAGGGTGGCACCCACGTCAGAGACCGAGAGTAAAACTGTGGGAAAAGTAATTAAGAACCTGGAAACTGGCCACAGTACATGCAATGTTTGTGTGCATTTTTTTTCAGAATATTTTTTTTTCTTCTGAATTTGCAGAGAGCAATGAATTAAGGAAAGACACGGGATGGAGAATTTTGGAATTCCCTCAGCCTCACTGAAATCCTTTTATTCCAATTTTATTTGTGTTACAGGACGAAGAAACCAGACTAGCACATCACATAGAATAATCCACACAGTATACAAAAATTACTTTTATGGAAGAGGCTAAACAAAGTCAGGAGATAGTATTGATTTCAGTGTGACGTGACTGCAAACAGACCTAGCTTATGCTACCTTGTTTATTAGAATTTTTGGCCTACAGAACTTTTCTCTATAAAATGATTGTCACTGAAAACAATCATAGCAACTTCAGAAAATAAGCAGAGGAACATAGGACACGAGTCAATTGCACATAAATTTTTTTCCAGAGACACAGTATTTCAGACTGATCAAGGTAAAACAGATGGAGCACAACCTTGTTATGAATCTTGCTTCTATTACTAAGTCCCACAGAGCTAGACATAACTGAAATTTTCACTAAGGTAGAAGTACAACAAATTCTTGAAGACATTTGTAAGGGCTATTTCAGATCACATGGAGGGTGGTCAAACCAGGAGGAATAAAACAGCTTTTTAATCAATGAGTTCTTTTCTTGTTTGGTTTTGTTTGGGTTTGTTTGTTTGTTTGTTTGTTTGTTTGTTTGTTTGTTTTGCTTGTTCATTTGTTTTGTTGTTGGTTTGGGGGTTTTGTTGTTGTTGGTTTTAATTTTTCCCCCTGAAAAGTTTAATATGAAACAAAAGGTTTATACTTTCAGTCTGGGTATTGCTGATTTCAAAGGAAGGAAAATGTTAACAAATGTGGCACATGACCTATATACTATAACATGATATTTTCGAAAGAAATACTTACTGAAGACATTACTAAAGTACACGGGATTCTGTGGATGTGTCTTACTTAAAAGCAAAGTTGTAAGGTATGCTAGCATATGAAAGCAGCTGAAATAGCCAGTCTTAGCCCATCGCAACACAGCATAGGATATTCTGTGTCCCAGTGACCTGGGCAGTACAAATCAGCTGCCTGAGTGGCCATGCCAGGCCCCTGGTGGCATTAACAGACCTTACTGTCCTCGCCCAGCCCCACCCGGGACCTGCTCCCACCCCTGCCCAGGGCCCCGGACCCCAGTCCAGCCCAGTGACCCCGCACCGGTGCCGCTCGGCAGCTCTGCTGCCATCCTGTCCTGTCCCCAGAGAGATGCCCCATGTCCCGGGCTGCCCCCCGGCCCCCAGGGAGCTGCCAGCCAGCACCATGCCCTGCGCTCGGCACCTCTCAGGGCACGGGTGCGGAGTTTGAAGCACACATCTCAAGTGCCGAGACAGGTTACCAAGTTAAGATGAAGGGGCAAAAAAACACTGAAGTCATTAAGAAAGGTGAAAGCGAGGCAGTGCATTTCCTGGCGAGATTTGGAAAGATTATAATGAGACAAGGAATAAATGATTTCGCAAGAAAGGGCAAAGCTTTGTGGCTGCAACTCGGCTATCAGTAAGAGAACACGGCTATGACTGTTGTCTCGAAAGGAAGGAAACTAGACAGCGGCTCACGGGCTTCTGGTGCACACTGGTGACAGGCTCCCGAGATGTGAGAGGGCAGCAGAGGACGTGGTTGGTCAAGGGTCTTTCCTGCCTTCCTTGCACCATGGTCCACACCAGCGTCACTGTTGTTCCTGAGGATGGATGTAAAGATCCTGGAGGTCCTCAGTGGCTGCTGATGTGAAGGGGACGTAAAGTTGCGTGAAACATGAAGGCTACAGAAAGGCTTTGAATTATATCATAAGGACAATACCGATAGTGTTGCAAGGAAGATACAGAAGAAGTTGTAAAGGTGAATGTTTGGTTGTGGTTACGTATTTATAGCTGAATCCATTTTCAAAGTCAACAGAATAGATGTTTAATATTTAGCTGTGGTTCTTCAAAGCCTCCAGACTGTCTTCTGTTTCCTCCTTCAGGGAAGCTAGAAAGATATTGAACTCTATTATCAATTTTTTGTATCTTCCTATGCTCAGGACAAGTGTCCTTGAAAGGGCAGCAGTTTTGGATTTGCTGATTGTCATGTAGACAAGGATGTTTTCAAAATAAAGTCACACAATCCATTTGTAAATCTTCCTGAATATATGAAAGTCTAATCAGGCTGACTCAGATATGCCAAACTATGGCATATCTCATTTGAATTCTCTCTTCCCCCAGGCCTTGTCTACAAGAAATATGCATACATTGTATTGTAAGTAGAAAACATGAATGATAACACTACTGAGCCCTGGTGGAGTTCTGAATGTATTTTAGTTTTAAATGCATCTGAGCATTTACCTTTTTCATATACTGGATGTAGCTGTAACAGCCCTATATAATGCCATTTTTGTCACCAACAGTATAGTCCTGAAGCAACACAACCTTCCACTGTCCCATTTTTCCTTATTGATAGTAGTTGATTGTATTTTCTGCAGTAAACAACGTGTTTATTGATTTGGTAGATGAATAGTGATCTTGCATACCTTACTTGTATGAGTAGTTTCTCCTTACAGGAGGGGCCCTACTGACTACAGATGTATTGGTTGTGTGGGTGTGATTTGTGGGTCTTCTCTCCATTCTGAGAAATATCTTATTCAAATAATAATTTGTTGGTTATTAAGTATACTGAACTGCTGGATGGTTTTGATTTTCAGTGTTATCTTTCATAGTCTATATGTAACAGTGACACTTCAGACATCATTGAAAACAGCATTCTTCATGGCTGTCTCTCTTACCATAACTTTTTGAAATGTTTTTCTTCTCAATTAAAGCATTTGAGGAAAAACTTTGCTACACAGGTAAGCAGCAAGTTCAGTTTTTCTGAGCAGTATAGGTAAAATGAAGTTCTACCACCCTCAGGGTAAGGGCCAAAGTAGCTTGTGTGATTCCACTGCTGGCAGCAACAAAGGTCATTTCTGTGGTCATGGCTTGGTAGAAATAATGGCAAGGCCTGAAGTAGGTTGCTTGGACTGTGGAGAAGAGAGAGTGGGAAAAGTGATCCTAGCAGGACTGTGAAAGTCTGTAGAAAGAGAAGTTTCTTTCTTCCACTATAGTTTGAGGGCTGCAGTCTGCTTCTAGAGGGACGTCATGGTAGCCATCATTATACTTCTTTGGTCCATGCCCTTTGATTGTAGATGGCTATACTCTGAAAAGCAAGTTACAGATATAGGTTATTTTCTCCCAGTCCATTCCCCTCAACTATTTCCATGATTTAGAGATCCTGTTATCTCTTCATGTCTTAACGTAGGATCTGAATGTGCCTGGACATTTGGTTCTGCTCTGTCTGCCCCCACTTCCATCTTGCTTGTGCTAACAGCAGTCAAAGACTGGGGAGGGAGGACAAAGATGGATTAGCACACATGGCACCTCCTTCCTCCCTCTCCTGTGCTAGAAATTGAAGGAGCAGCTGAAGGCAAATTGCCCTCCCCTTCCTCTCCCCTTCAGTAAGCTCGTGCTTTCCATACACGCTGCCCTAAGTAGTCATTTACCTGGAAGGCATCTACCTAGAAGGATCCCTGGTACCTCTCACATGGTATTGGGTTTGCATGGCCAGGTTTTGATAGCAGGGCGCTACAGGGGTGGCTGCTGTGAGAAGCTGCTAGAAGTTTCCCCTGTGTCCAATGCAGCTGGTTCCAAGATGGACCTACCACTGGCCAAGGCCGAGCCCATCAGCGACAGTGGTAGTGCCTCTGGGATAATGTATTTAAGAAGGGGAAGAAAAAGCCCTGTGCAGCAGCAGCCGGAAGAGAGGAGTGAGAATATGTGAGAGAAACAGCCCTGCAGACCCCAGGGTCAGTGCAGAAGGAGAGGAGGTGCTGCAGGTGCCGGAGCAGAGATTCCCCGGCAGCCCCTGGTGCAGCCCCTGGTGAGGCAGGCTGTGCCCTGCAGCCCAGGGAGGGCCATGGTGGGGCAGATCTCCACCTGCACCTCGTGGAGGACCCCACGCTGGAGCAGGTGGGTGCCCAAAGGAGGCTGTGACCCTGTGGGAAGCCCATGCTAGAGCGGATTCCTGGCAGGACCTGTGGATCCGTGGAGAGAGGAGCCCACGCTGGAGCAGGTTTGCTGGCAGGACTTGTGACCCCGTGGGGGACCCACACCAGAGCAGCCTGTTCCTGAAGGGCTGCACCCCATGGGAGGGACCCACGCTGGAGCAGTTTGTGAAGAACTGCAGCTTGCAGGAAGGACTCACATTGGAGAAATTTGCGGAGGACTGTCTCCTGTGGGAGGGACCCCACGCTGGAGCAGGGGAGGAGTGTGAGGAGTCCTCTCCCTGAAGAGGAAGGACGGTCAGAGACAATGTGTGAGCGACTGACTGCAGCCCCCCACTTCCCATCCCCCGGTGCCACTCAGGGGGAGGAGGTAAAGAAATTGGGAGTAAAGTTGAGCCTAGAAAGAAGGGAGGGGTGGGGAGAAGGTGTTTTAAGATTTGGTTTTATTTCTCATTGCCCTACTCTGATTTGATTGGCAATAAATTAATTTGCCCATGACGGTAATTGCTGAGTGATCTCTCCCTGTCCTTAACTCGACCCACGAGCCTTTCCTTATATTTTTATCTCCCCTGTCCAGCTGAGGAGGGGGAATGGTGGAGCAGCTTGGTGGGCAGCTGGTGTCCAACCAAAGTCAACCCACCACACACATCATCACTGCCGTGCCCTGTGATTGTTGCTTACAACTTGTCACTGTGGCCCTTTTTTCCCCTTTACTGAGCACTGCTTTTTCCTAAATTCATTAACACAAAGTAGTTTCTTGATTTGGCATATTACGTGATAGCCCAAGCAGCCAAAAAGTAGTCATGAAAAAGTTAATTTCATTTATTGCTCTGTCAGACATATTACTGTGGTCAGTGTATTTTGTACTAGGATGGCTGGGTGATGGCTGAGGTGCACATTTTATATTTATTTTGGGGTTTGTCGTTTTTTGTTTGTTTGTTTCACTATGCTGACTTTAAAAGTCAGCCTGTTGCTCTTTCTCTGGTTCAAAAGTCCTCCTACTTGCCCTCCCAAAGAATGGGGAGAGATTTGACATCTCTAAAATATTTATTGGATGGAAAAACATTGATGCTAAATGTAGTAAGATACATGTTTTGATTGTTATATTGGCAAGTAAAAGTCATTCGAATACTAGTTTGCTAACTTTTTTGCACTTATTTGTCTCTTAGAAAGGAGATACCATTGCAAATTTCCATTATAGAAAAGAGATGACAAAAAGTTTGACATGCTATTATTATGTAAAAGAATATCAACTCATGCCTTGTTACTGGCAATTACTGGACTCCTAAGAGTAACCTTTTCCTTACCATCAGATGCTCAAACCAGATATAAAATATGAGGGAGTTTATATTATGTATCTCATAAAATGTGCTCTATCATCTTTCTTAAAAACATTATTGCGTAACTTGATCTTTCCACTGCAGTGAGCTCATTTAGCACCAGCCAGGAAGGAAGTCTTTGCTTTGCTCAGTTTGCAGCCATTGCATTTGTGTTCTTATCTTAATAAACGTGAGTTACACTATGACTAGACTTATTCTGAATTAGCGATAATTAAGATAAGGTCAGCTGCAAAATCTGTCACTTTTTTG